CCCCCCCCCCTCCCTTTTTTTTTTTTTTTAATATATTGGAGAAGGTGATGTCAGTGGTAGAAGGAGCAGAGTTTGCCGTGCTCTTGTGTGTTCTTTAATGATTTGGTAGGAACCAGATTAAAAGAATGGAGACTCATTTAATGATACAGTTTATTGGCCTTAAATCATTCTTTCATGAAAGGGCTGTTTTTCATTCAGCTGCCTCTAAAATATCCAGAGTTAGAGTAAAAGGTACACTGAGATGGTCCATTAATTTCTATTGTCCACTAAATAGGCATTTCATCCTTGGACAGGAACGGCTGGAAATGAAATGAGTATTCATCGGGGGAGAAACAATGTGCAAAGAAACATAAAAAAAAAAACCACCCTAGCTAAGATGAGGAATAACCCTTCTTCTTCTGCCAGTACATTTTTGAAATCTATGATGTGCTAAATGAAGTAATTCTTCAGACAAATCTTGGTGAACCAGGAGTAGTGGTCAATGGCATATATAGAAAGTGGTAGTATTTATAAGGGAGGCTGGTCTTCACTAGGGGCAGGGAAAGTGTTTCTACAGCCTAGAATCAGGCACGTACATTTTCTGTATATGAGCTATTACTTGTCTGCCTGATGTGTTGAGAAATATAGAAACCCCTTCCTACCACATATGAGCATGCTCGCAGATAATGATGTGGTTGGCATATGGCAATCGTCAGATAAAGACTAAAGATACAGAACTAACAGCATGGAAGAATATTTTGGGGTTTGGTTTTCAGTTGTTAGTAGGTACGACCATTGACGAATGGACTGTCGTGGCATTGCCTGTCCTGATGTTCATTCAGATGAAAGGATGGTTACTCTGTGGCTTTTAAAAGCAGAAAACAAAACCTCCTTCTAATGATAGAAATATTCAAGCAACGTATTATTCCCAGATTGTTTAAAAACTCACCTGTAGGTGAGCTTAATAGATAACTGACTTCTTATCCTTTTATTAGCACTCTTCAGTGGTTGCATTTAATCGGATTCATATGGAGTTGTTCCATAATGAAAAAAGAACCGGCAGTGTCTCAGACTTTTTCTAAAGAGACTTTCTAATCTGTTTGTTCTGCTTGTGTACATTGGTATGTGGTCTTGTGGCACAGATGATAATAAACATGCTAAGTACCTGTCCTCAAAATAATGTTTCTGTTGTACTTATCACTAGCCAGTAGTCACTTTTGCTAATGATGGTAATTTGCAGTGGTTTTCCTGTTATTTCTGTGTCTTGCAGCAGGGCCATCTTTGGTAATCTGAAATGTGTAAGGTGCACTTATATTCCTCTTACAAATACACATCTATGAGGTGTCCCCATGCAGAATAAATGAAACTAGGCTATGTGGTGCGGTGTTTTCCTGTTGCTGCCAAGGGTAGGCTAGTCTTCCATGTCTTTGCTACTTGATTATTTTAATATCTTTTCTGTGTTGAGGAGGAGAATCTATCCTCTTCAGTAGTCCCATTCAAATTAGCTTATGCATAAATGTAGCTAAACCTTGGATGGGTCACTGAATGAAAGGAAATCTGCAGCCCTTACTAAATGGTGTTCTGTATGTGGAGATCTCTGCCTGCAATGAGTGCCTCAAAGCCTAGCCCAGATTACAAGGCTTTGGGAACAGTGTTTGCATTTTTCTGTGCACCTATACAATGCTTGGTAACTGGCTCTTGCTTTCTGTGTTTGGATGGCTACAGCAATGCAAATGGCATGGCTGGATTAGGTTAGAATGAGGACAGCATCACGCCTTTGGACAGTCCTCTCACGTTGTGTATGGTGCTTGTTTTACTGTTTTGGTTCTGGGTACAGTTATTTTCAAAGTCACATGGATATTAAGTACCATTGCAGGTTGGTGAGCTACATTCAGTGCATCCTGACCATCGAGTTCCTTAAAGCAGATACAGAATTTCCAAGTCACTAACACTCTTTAAAGTAGGACAAACTGAGCAGACTTTTAAATCTTTGTTCTGTCTACGTGGTGGCGGTTGTTGCTGCTGTGTTGAGGGGGTGTCAGTTAGTTGTTAGGATCATATGGAATAGTACTTACTCTTTCAATACAGCTGAGGAAAAGTGATGTGTAATTGAGGATTTGCATGAATATACTTGCATTTAGACCTTGAAAAAGATAATCACTTTCTTTCAGTGACTATTAAAAGGAATAAAAATGTTTCCAGTGTTTTGCCTATAACTTGTAAGTAATGGCTTGTTATCCAGGTATTAATCATGGTTTGTGATACTGGAGAAACTCCCACGATTTTGCAAAAAGGAAAAGGTAATATCAGATTTTATTTCGCTACGCAGCTGTTAATTGGCTGTGGCCGTACAAAACTTTTTTTTTTATCATATTCATTGGTATGAACACTCGAACTTAACATTTGCCAGTCTTGCACGTTTTGCCAACGTGTCCACGTTGATTAAGAAGACATAGGTAGGAGACAGTACTACTACTACAGCGAAGGTGGTCAATGTGCTGTTATTTAAAAGGGAGGAAAACGCTTGGTGTGTGTGGTGTCTTGGTCTCTGTTTTTTCCCCAGGGTACCCTCTAATCCAGTGTTTAGCTCTATTGCCATGATACATTACCTGTATTTCCCATTCCTTAACAAATCTGCTGCAAGGCAGGTTCCTAATACTGAGCGTATTTATCCTTCTGTAGCATGCTTAAACAAGGACTAAAGCTTAAAAAAAGGCGATATCAAATAATCATGTTTGTAGTAAAACAACAAATGTGTACTGGTCCAGTGGGGTGTTACTGGATTTTTTTTCAAGGGGCACCTGACTTTTCCTTGCAACCATTAAAAAAATAAGAGGCGGAGCAGAATGCTTGTAAGGATATCCTGGAAAGTTTCAAGTCTGTGTTCGTGCTAAAAAATATTTAAATGTCTTATTAATCACAGCTGTATTTTGAAGAGCTTAATAACTAATATTGTTACAAGTAACGCCTGCATCTGGGGGGGAAAAATACGTGCAAGCATATCATATTTTGTTTCCTTTGTGTCTTTGCCAGGTTTACGTATATCCTGGTTGTGTTGTTCCTAGCAAAACTAGTTAGGGCCTCTTTGAAGCCAAAGCAAGAAATAAGCTGGATCTCAGTTAAAATAGGACGTGCCTGGCAGGTAGGCAACATTTGCAAATGCCAAAATCGTGTATTAAAAAGTAGGTGACAACTGGAATAATCTGTAAGTCCTCAAAAACCCACAAATTGAGGAAAATTTTGTAGTTTGTTGGGGAGAAGATAGTGTTTTGAGGGAGGAAGTGCACGTAAAGAATCTAGTTTCTGTTGACAGAGATAAGATTTTGAACCATCTAGTCCAATGACTGGTCAGTTGGTGTCTTGTATAGAACTCGGTTCTTTCCCCTGTGCCTCAGCTTTATATTCTATTACGTGTAATTATCTCATTTCTTTGGTTCTCACGGTGCTTTTGAAGAGCTACCGCTTGGTGTTCTCCATCATAGGTGTGTGCTGTGGTTAACGCACTAGCAGGCCGATCTTAGACTTGTGTTGGCCAACAAGGAGCTTCATCCAATGTTCATTCTCCTTTTGGAATGTCTTTTCTGGATTGGGTGCTTTTCTTTTTTTACATCAATTTTTCTTGAAAATCATTTGGGTCCAATGTTCTTTGAATATTTTCTGATGAGATCATTAACCACAGGAACAATTGGAGATACTAATTTGTTTTAGTTAGTGCAGACCTGTAACCTTTAGTAATTGCCCTGTGCGAACTTGTTTTGCATTAACGTTTTTAGGCAAAATCCAGGTTATAATCATGCTTTCTCTTTGAAGTGTCAGATAAAACTTCAGAAGTGCTCCCACCTTGATGTGAGTCAAAATACCACATTTAGAGTTTAGATCCTGATAGCTCCGACCTCTGTAGTAATGAGTGTAGCTGCAGTATCGGGTGTCCTCACTGTATTCTGCTAATCCAAAAAAGAATAAGCACGGCTAATAAAAGCTCTTGTATCACATCTAGGTATTCTTTGAACCAAACAAAATGAATAAACAGGCATTTGCTGACTGTTCACAACAAGCAATAGAACGTCCATGCTCTGCATTGCAGTAGAGATTGGTTTTTATTGATGAAGAATGATTATAAGCATAATTTCTATAAGATTAGAATAAAACTAGCTTGTCCTAAGGCTTCAGTCTCCTGGGTGTTTGCAAGAGTGAAGAGGATAAACTACCTGTGAAATGAAGCGTAGCTGTGCTGCTTTAGGTTTGAGGTTTTCCGATCAGAGGAGTACAAACAAGGTCACAAGCCAGCAATGTGTGAGGGAGGTAAAAAATTCCCAGAGCGAATGGATCATATTTTGTAGGGCTTCTGC